AGTCTTTCGCTCAACTGTGATACACACATAATAATTTAAGGGATTTGCAGTCCGAGGAGTTATCAAAATTGTCTGATAGCTATGTCTGCGTTATCTTTGTTTTGTAGTGTGGTGTAGGGTTCTGCTGCCAGTAATAGGTTCCTCCAGTAGCCACCCACATGAACCATGGCAACACTACCTGCTCAAGACATCTGATGTCGGCCTCCGTGTTGAGAGAAAGTTTTCTGAGCTTCCGTAGCCTCGTATTATATGTCAAACGCTTCCAACACTTTCCGAGTCCTAAGAACTGTGCTCAGATTGACACCCAATAACTATGAATATTTCGTATTGGAGCTTCCCGGGCGAATGCTAAACAATGCAACATGTCATTTCCATATTTCTGGTGGAGCTAATTGCATCACGGTGTTCTTTTCTCACAGAGAGTACCATGTTGACCCTATTATACACTGCAGTGGACAAAAAAAAAAAAAACGCAAAATAACTGAGACGCAAAATAATTGAGATAGATAGATAGATAGATACGAAAAAGTGAGATGGGTACGATAGATAGATAGATAGATAGATAGATAGATAGATAGATAGATAGATACGAAAAAGTGAGATAGATAGATAGACACAGAAGAATGAGATAGATATGAAAGAATGATATATATATATATATATATATATATATATATATATATATATATATATATAGATAGATAGATAGATAGATAGATAGGTAAGAAAGAATGGGATGGATACGAAAGTAACAAATCTTAAAAAGGCACATTTATCAATGACTATGCACAAACACATACTAATGGAATCATTATTATTTTTCCTATTATTTTTTCATCATTATTAAGTCTATAAACCGCTATCTTTACCCCACAACACAGATGCTCAGTTAATGATTCTTGGGTAACTGGCTAGGTACATTTTTATACAGAGTATATACTCGTGTAACGCGCGATCTCCTGAATCGGGCGACCCCACAGTTTTTCACTTATAAAAAAAAAAAAAAAAGATTTTATCATGTATCTCGTGTATCATGTGACTTCTTTTTTGAGAGACAAAATTACATTTGACTATCCTTTTTTCCTCAATATTTCATCCAATGTTCTAATTGCATAAGTTAAGCGAATGATAAAAGTATCGTTACTAAAGCTATACTCGTTGTGAACAAGAGAAAGCTAAACATCTTATAAACGTAAGCAATGGAGAAGATGCATATTAGTTATGCTTTTTTTGTTTTATAATACGATGTGAATATTACATGTTTATTATTGGATACATTTAAATAAAACATCAGATTTATCAAAATCATGTTTCTTTTTACATCCGCCTGTACTTTTAAAATAGAGTAAATGGATATATAGTTTGGTCAACGGTGTAGCCAGAACCACTAATACATATGATAATCTTATATCTCGTGTATGACGCGACCCCATTAAAATTAACTTCAAAATAATCTTCAAAACTTACAAGATACTCGAGTATATACAATACACATAGATACTCATGTACAATTCGTGTCTATTTTGCTTTCATCATCTTTATTATTAGTAGTATTATTGGTTTTTTTCGTGATATCATAGTATCATCCACATTCCAACAAATTCGGAAATACTAAAACTATATCTATACACACACCCAGCAACACACATACACACAAATTTAATCATTGTACATTGAACTTTTGGTATTGCAACTATAGTCCAATAACATGAATCCCCGACACGTCATCTACTTTGTCGCCCTGAACTACTTAACATTTATCAAGTTCTACTTAACACATTGTTTTCATTAGCCACGCTCACTGAATGATGACACTCCCAATTTTTTGACAATAAATTATTATGATCATTATTTTTTGGCGCCAAAATCACGTAATCTTAATCAACCAGTCAGATTGTAGATTAAATTTAATATTTCCAATAAGCAAACTGCATTGTGGCATTTCAAAGCGAATTTGAATTGATCGGAATAATTTTTTATGATTATCATTAAAACTGATAAAATCGTCCATATTGACAAATTTTCAGCATAAAATAATTTTCTTATTTATAAAATCTTAAAAAAAATAATACATCATTTTCTGAAAGCTTACTTGACAACAATTAGCTGATTTGAAATTTAATAAATCGAAAATGAAAAAAAAATGTTACTTACATTTATTCTAAAATATCACAGAACAGCGTTTTCTAACACAGACGCTAGTGTTTATATGAGATGTTGACGCATTTATCGACAGACTGAAGTTAGCGAAATTTATCTAATGAGTAGTTAATTCTATTAATATTACATGGCGAATCTAACATAAACGCCATTTTATACAGTTTTTAACACTCCAGTATTAAAAAAAAATTCATGCATTGTAATATTTTATTGAATTTTAGGTACATTTTTAGTCTTATTTACGAAAACGCTTATTACAGAAATGTTAGAAAATTACCAACAATTGTAAATGTTTACTATGGTTATCTCTTTTATTTTCTTATGTACAAACATCCTTAAAAAAAACTGGCTTTAGTTAGAGCCTGTAACAGAACCCAAACAGTGTGAGTTCAATACCCGGTTAAGGCAGTGGAGAACTTGGAGAGGGAAATTAGTTAGAGATTACTGATATCTAACATCCATTAAACATAGCACGTGGAACTAGATCTATCTACCCCAGTGAGCGAAATAAAGGGTTCATTTCGACATTCCAACCACCTGAAGAATCTTTAGAGAAAATGGAAACAAGGAAAACTAATTAGCATCAGGAAGAGACAGTTGGAGTGTCTAGGGCACATATAATGAGAAAAGAACGCTTGCGAAATCTGATACTCACAGGGCTGATTGAAGCTAAGATGGTGAGAGGAAAGGAAAAGAAATCATAACTTCTTGGGTTGAGTAATTAAATGGCGGATCAAGGTTTAAGAGAAATAACAGAAAGACAAAATGTATTAAGAGCCACAATGGATAGGCAATTTTGGAGAGCCATTTTTGCCACGTCCTGAAAGGATACGGCACATAAACTAAATAACGCCTTTACCCACTGTGTCATGTGACCTCAAAGACACATGACACAGTGGATAAGGGCGTTAGTAAGATCCAGTGACAGGACCCAAAGAGTGTGAGTTCAATACCTGGTTAAGGCTGATGGAGAACTTGTAGAGGTTAATTAACAGAAGATAACTGATAACTGACATCCATTAAAAATGGCACGTGGATCTAGAACAATCTACCCAAGTGAGCGAAATAAAGAGTTCAGTTCGACATTCTAACCACCTGAAGAAGGCCGGAGCGTACAACGGCTGAAACCTTGTAATAAATATGGCGACAAAGATGAGGACATTAGTCCAAATAATGTAAGTAGTTTTAAATATATATTTTCACCGAATTTATAGGAGATTTAATCCCCCAGTAATCAATCAAGTGTATGGCAGTTAAGAATTTCTTTTCTGATACAGGAAGGAAAAAGAAAGAAAGAGGAAATAATATAATTGCCTCGATTGAATAGACAAGAAGACAACTTCCATCAAGAAACAGTCGAGAAGAACTAGGGGAAAACATATTTTCGCAAACATTCTGCTCTTTCCAGTGCCGGAAAAATGTTTATCAAATTAACCAGAAATTAAATATGCTGATATATTTTATCAATGAACTAAATCAGAAACCTGTGTTCAACACGAACAACATGCATCGGTGATTGTTCATTGACTTTCATTTTTTTTTTCTTTTTGGTGTTTGATATTTACTTCATTATTCAATGAGCTATTGATCAATATTTTGAGCCTCAAGTGCCTGGGAGTATCAATCATAAACATACATATCGGATATGCGAGGTCTGATCAAAAAGGGACGGGTGCTATTAAAAGAGAACTACAACACATAAAAGATTGTCATCTAATCTCCTTCGAAGTAGTCAGCTTCTGAAGCAACACACATTACTCAGTGCCGCCTCAGTTGATGGGAAGTTTGGTATAGTCGCATGACATTCTCTTGGATACTTCGACGTCTTGAAAACTTGTTTCCTTCCCGATAGATAGATAGATAGATAGATAGATATGAATAAACATATATATAGATAGATAGATAGATATGAAGAAACAAATATATATATGAAGAAACAATGATAGATAGATATTTAAAACATAGATAGATATTTAAATAGATATGAAGAAACATAGATAGATAGATAGATAGATAGATAGATAGATAGATAGATAGATAGATATGAAGAAACAAAAATGATAGATATGAAGAAATAGATAGATAGATAGATAGATATGAAGAAACAAAAATGATAGATATAAAGAAACAGATAAATAGATAGACAGATAGATTGATAGATAGCAACAGTCTGAGATAGATAGATAGATATATAGATAGATAGATAGATAGATAGATAGATAGATAGATAGATAGATAGATAGATATGAAGAAACAAAAATGATAGATATGAAGAAACAGATAAATAGATAGATAGATATGAAAAAACAAAAATGATAGATATGAAGAAACAGATAAAGAGATAGACAGATAGATTGATAGATAGCAACAGACTGAGATAGATAGATAGATAGATAGATAGATAGATATAACCACATACTATAGAGTCTGATAATGGTACGCAATTTACTTCGTGTGAATTACAAATTTTTTGCAGATACTATTCAGTTGAACATATAACAATGCCGCCATATAATACAAAATGGTCAGGCTGAAGCTTTTGTTGATACGTTCGAAAGGAGCATTCAAGAGATCAAACGGATAGAAGACGGAAAATGTAACAACTTTTAAGAATTTATAGACTGACTCTTAAAGCTAATACTGCATTGAGGATAACAACAGTAGAATTAATGTTTGTCAGAAAAATTAAATCGGTGTTTGACAAATTATTACCTTGAAGAAAAATAAAATGTTGGTATCGTAAGAAATCTAATATGAAATCTTACAAAGCAAGAGACTGAGTATTCTTCAGAGCTTATAAGGTAGGGATGTAAGGCTGTGAAGATGGCGAAATAATACATTGCATTGGTAGAATGATGTATATGATACAATGTCCAATCTGGCGCCATTTACATTCAATTAAACCAGGATATACAAAAGATTTATAAAACAACGAAGAGATTAGTCTGTGGAAGCAATGTATGATACTTTAAGCTTGTCCACACTAATTATAACTACTTGAACACACCGTGTAAGTAAAAGGACAATATCTCCAAGGGAAGTGTTGGCCGTGAAACCTCAAAAGAAGGAAATACCGTATATGCACGCGTATCATGCGATTTTGAAGACCTAAATTAATTTTAAGAGAATCGCATCATATTACAAACGTTGCATGATACGCGAGAATATACTGTATGTATTCAATAGAGAAAGCTATCCTTAAAAGGTAGGTGTTGTGTAGAAACACGAGAGACCTTCGCTGCACTAAAGAGTGCAACGTGGCATCTTCGATTGATGACAGAAAGTTGCAATGTAGTCGCACAATTATAATATTAATCCACGTGATTAAACAGTTCCATTGTAACTACTGCTACGCTTTCCACACCCACAGTTTATTCGTCTGCGATTGGCTAGTAAATCGATACTGCCCTTCCATGAGACAATTTAGCAATGGCAGTCACCACTTTGAATTTTTTTCTCCCATGAACTTACTCACATGTTTCTTTGTTACAAAATCAGTGATTGGTTGAATTTTAACCAATCAAACATTTTTTTGCTGAATCAACTTTCCCGCTTTTTCGCTTGGAGCCTACCGGCAGTCTTAAAAGAAGCAATATTTTCCACAACTGTCAGTAGACTTCAGCCACTTACGCCTGTCTGCACAAATCCAAGGCTACTCACAACGCACACGCAGACACAGATTTTTGTATCACATTACACGTATTCTTCCTCTCTGTGACTAAGCCTAGTTCATGAACCAGAATTCTCTTATTTACTCAAAATAACACACTTCTTAATTAGTTGCATTAGTTCTGAACATTCTTATTCAAGAGAAATTCTTTTGAACATTCCTTCTTAATCAGAATACAGTTGAAGGGAAGCAACTTTTACTCCCTTAATTACTGCACACCATTGCATAATTGTTTTGTATGTTATTATTCCAATATATATTCTATTGCTGATGCACACTTGGAGTCTCGTTGTTTTTCCCTGAATCATTAAATGTATAATAGATAAATGCTCTTAGAAGACGCAATTATATTTGATAACCTCAACGCATAAACCCAAGCAGCATTTACACCATCACTAATCTTGCGTTAGATGGTTTTCATTTGCATATTATTAACCCCAACTTCGAGTTGATATGAGCATTTTAACACAAACCTATATTCTGGACAATATATGAACGAGCAAGTATCGATTATTGAATGAAATAAATATTTTTTATCTTGTATCAGGTTGCACGGTGTTAGCAATCACTGAATATAAAACTCGGCATACTCGACTGGGCCAATATCTGCACTGGAACAACTGCAACTTTTACGGGAAGGAAACTACAAAAAACTGAACACCACCCAGACCAGGTTATAGAAAAACTGTAACAAATTTATGGAACTTCAAAGTTAATCGCCCAGAAATCCTGATCAGTATCTGTCTATATTTCTGAGATGTGGTATTATATACACTATTTAAAATATTCGGACTATAGTTCTCATCTTTGTCGCCATATTTATTACAACGTTTCTGGCCTTTCAGTATCTGTCTATATTTCTGAGATGAGGTATTATGTACATTTTTTTCATTATTCGGACTATTGTCCTCATCTTTGTCGCCATATTTATTACAACGTTTTTGGCCTTTCAGTATATGTCTATATTTCTGAGATGAGGTATTATGTTCACTATTTACAATATTCGGACTATTGTCCTCATCTTTGTCGCCATATTTATTACAACGTTTCGGCCGTTTTACGCTCCGGTCGTCTTCAGGTGGTTAAAATGTCGAACTGAACCCTTTGTTTTGCTCACTAGGGCAGACTGTTCGAGTTCCAGGTGCCATGTTTAATGGATGTCAGGTATCAGTTATCTTCTGTTAATTAACCTCTACAAGTTCTCCATCAGCCTTAACCGGGTATTGAACTCACACTTTTTGGATCCTGTCACTGGATCTAACTAAAGCCTTTATCCACTGTGCCATGTGTCCTTGAAGATAAATCATGATCAATGAACACAAGAACAAAATTTGCTTTTTTATTGACATGGCAATCCGTATAGATTATAACGTATGCTTGAAGATCTTCAAAAACTATGGAAATACAAGGATCTTGATGTGGCAATGTCAATAATCCCATTTGTAGTTAGAGCCATAAGATTGAGTGGAAAACGTTCAGATAGACTTCCTGAAGGGATTTTGGTAGTCCATACCTTAAAGAAATACAAATATTGTACGGCTCAAACATTACGAAGAGCTTTATCTATATAATATGTGTGATCTTATTTTTTTATCTGTTTTATAAAAACGATCAATGGAAAATATCACTAACATATTTTGGTCTTACGTCACTGGTTGGGACCCGGAAGGAAATGTGTATGCAACAGGAACCAAAGGAAATAATAATAATAATAATAATAATAATAATAATCTCCTTGTCAGAGTTGATGTTTTTTCCAAAACAGTCGCCTGATATCAGTCGAGTTCATTATTTCACACACAGAACAGTTCACGGGCAAGAGTTCTTAGCCATTTGTTTTGGTCCTATTTTCATCGTCATCAGATGAATTTGTATTTGACAGTTTACTCATTAATATGGTATGTTTTTTCTGGACTCGAAGAAAGGAAATTATTATTTGCCGTCGTCATCATCATCGTCGTCTTCTCCTTCTCCTCTCCTTCCTCTTCCTCCTCCTCTGCTTACTTCTTCTTCTTCTTCTTCTTCTTATTATTATTATTATTATTATTATTATTATTATTATTTGTTTATTGTTGCATAAAGAAAAGAAATAAAAATATTAAAATCATTAATCGGGAAAACGTTTAACGTAAATGAAAGTACGTGTTAGTCCTTCCAATTACAAACGCTACCAAAGAAAATTGTTTTCTCAAGAGCAATGCAAGTGAGTACAGCACGAAGGCTCCTCCTCTTCCTCTGCCTACTTCTTATTATTATTCGTTTCATTATTATTATTATTATTATTATTATTATTATTATTATTATTATTATTTGTTTATAAAGAAAAGAAATAAAAATAATATTAAAATCATTAATCAGGAAAACGTTTAACGTGAGTGAAAGTACGTGTTAGTCCTTCGAATTACAAACGCTACCAAAGAAAATTGTTTTCTCAAGAGCAATGCAAGTGAGTACAGCACGAAGGCTCCTCCTCTTCCTCTGCCTACTTCTTATTATTATTCGTTTCATTATTATTATTATTATTATTATTATTTGTTTATAAAGCAAAGAAATAAAAATAATATTAAAATCATTAATCAGGAAAACGTTTAACGTGGAGTTTAAAGTACGTGTTAGTCCTTCGAATTACAAACGCTACCAAAGAAAATTGTTTTCAAGAGCAATGCAAGTGAGTACAGCACGAAGGCTCCTCCTCTTCCTCTGCCTACTTCTTTATTATTATTCGTTTCATTATTATTATTATTATTATTATTATTATTCGTTTCTTATTATTATTATTATTATTATTATTTATAAAGAAAGAAATAAAAATAATATTAAAATCATTAATCAGGAAAACCATTAACGTGTTAGTCCTTCGAAAGTACGAAAATTGTTTTCTCAAGAGCAAAAGCAAGAGTAGTCCTTCTGAATTACAAACGCTACCAAATTATTATTATTAAAATTTGTTTTCTCAAAGAGCAAATCAGCGTTTAAGTGAAAGTACAGCACGCTAAAAGAAATTGTTTTCCTCCTCTTCCTCTGCCTACTTCTTATTATTATTCGTTTCATTATTATTATTATTATTATTATTATTATTATTATTATTATTTGTTTATAAAGCAAAGAAATAAAAATAATATTAAAATCATTAATCAGGAAAACGTTTAACGTGAGTGAAAGTACGTGTTAGTCCTTCGAATTACAAACGCTACCAAAGAAAATTGTTTTCTCAAGAGCAAAGCAAGTGAGTACAGCACGAAGGCCCTCCTCTTCCTCTGCCTACTTCTTATTATTATTCGTTTCGTTTTATTATTATTATTATTATTATTATTATTATTATTATTTTTGTTTATAAAGCAAAGAAATAAAAATAATATTAAAATCATTAATCAGGAAAAACGTTTAACGTTTAACGGAGTGAAAGTACGTGTTAGTCCTTCGAATTACAAACGCTACCAAAGAAAATTGTTTTCTCAAGAGCAATGCAAGTGAGTACAGCACGAAGGCTCCTCCTCTTCCTCTGCCTACTTCTTATTATTATTCGTTTCATTATTATTATTATTATTATTATTATTATTATTATTATTATTATTTGTTTATAAAGCAAAGAAATAAAAATAATATTAAAATCATTAATCAGGAAAACGTTTAACGTGAGTGAAAAGTACGTGTTAGTCCTTCGAATTACAAACGCTACCAAAGAAAATTGTTTTCTCAAGAGCAAAGCAAGTGAGTACAGCACGAAGGCTCCTCCTCTTCCTCTGCCTACTTTTATTATTATTCGTTTCATTATTATTATTATTATTATTATTATTATTATTATTATTATTTTATTTGTTTATAAAGCAAAGAAATAAAAAATAATATTAAAATCATTAATCAGGAAAACGTTTAACGTGAGTGAAAGTACGTGTTAGTCCTTCGAATTACAAACGCTACCAAAGAAAATTGTTTTCTCAAGAGCAATGCAAGTGAGTACAGCACGAAGGCTCCTCCTCTTCCTCTGCCTACTTTTTATTATTATTCGTTTTATTATTATTATTATTCATTATTATTATTATTATTATTATTATTTGTTTATAAAGCAAAGAAATAAAAATAATATTAAAATCATTAATCAGGAAAACGTTTAACGTGAGTGAAAGTACGTCTTAGTCCTTCGAATTACAATTCGCTACCAAAGAAAAT